CATACACCACATATCCTTATGAGAGCAGTATTAAGCATGTTCAACTTGTATTTTATATTTATAGAAAAAGGTTATACAAAACAAACTTTCATTAATAAACTTAAAAATAAAGTAAGTAAATAAAATGAGGTGACTTTTCTTTTTTTGTTCTAAGTGATAAAGTAAATAAAATAAGGTGACTTTTCTTTTTTTGTCCTAAGTGATAAATTAATAGAACAAGAACTTATATAAAAATTAATTAATGGATTTAAAACATATATTTTTTTTTTTTTTTTTTTTTGTATGTATTTAGGTGCTCCCAGAACTCCTTACGGTCTTATCATAGAGCACCGCGGTAGAGCATTTAACAAGAGGTTCACGCCTCCTTCCGTACCAATGTCGCTTGTTGGGCTAGAGCTGGCGTCGAACCTGGAACCTCTGGGTTCTGAGCCAGAACTCTAACCACTGCGCTTCATTTAAAACATATAACAAAGTAGAAGGAAGCACATACAAATAAAAAAGTGAAAGAAAATAAGAAACAATTATTTCCCAATAGATTAAAAACACTATTAAAGGAATATCCTTTAGAGAAATTTTTAAACGTTATAAATAGTCATTTTGAAATAATGTTTTGGCAAGTTTTCTGAGAAATAAGATATATTTTTTTTTTATTCATATATTTGCCGTACATATAACATTTACAAGTTTCGTAAATTAATATTTACAAGTCTCGTGAGTCAAAATATATATAGTGAAATTTATAATTAAATAGTACAGGCCGGACTTCAAGAAGATCGTAATGATCTTATCACGAAGCCCTTACAATGTGTTTGATATATTATTATGATTATGTTAAATATAATTATATATTAAGTACAACTATGTTTATATATTCTTTAAATTTAGCTCATAATAAAAAATAAACTCAAAATAAGCTCAGTATAAAATATTAGACATAACTAGCAGCATAATAACTAAACTTGATAAGAAAAAATCAAGTGTTTTTTTGTGTGTAATAAACACATTTTGATATATTGTTTGAGAAATTTGAGAACGAGTCAGTTCACTTTGTAGTTGATATATATGTATTTTAATTTATAGTCTTAGAAGAATTCTGAGTATCTGTTTAGATTCAGTATCAGATTTTTTAACTTTTTTTTCAAGAAATTTTGATTGCAAATTGAATCTAGATTGCAGATTGATTTATTTTTAGTTACTAGTTTGTTGTATAAATAAGGACCCCGATATGAAATTGAGAACTGGGAAAGTTTTGTTTTTTTGAAAGGTGTAATAAAGTTTCCTTTTTCTCTTGTGTTATATTTATTAACGTTATTTATAAAAAAGTTATTTAAAAAATGGTTTGGTACTTGACCTAATTTAAAGTTTAGCATAAACAATATATTTTGGTAAATATTAATTTGATAAATATTAAGCACATTCATTTCTTTAAATAAGGGTTCAGTGTGTGTAAATTTGTCTTTATGGTAGATAAGTCTAACAGCATGTTTCTGACGTCGATATAAAGTTTTCAATTTGGTTATATGCGTACTCGCCCAAGCTATATTCGCATATATGAGGTAGCTGTGTATAAAAGAGAAATATATAAATTTTAAATTACTTTGCGACAGCATAGGTTTTGCTTTATAAAGTAGACCTATGTTTTTTGATATTTTAGTGTTTAAAGCATTTATGTGACTTTTCCAAGATAAATTTTCATCAATTATAACTCCTAAAAATTTAGTTTCGTGAGTTCTCTCAATTACTATATTTTCTATTTTTAGAGAGGGTAGAATATTTGGTAGTGTGTTTCTTTGTTGGTAGTGTGTTTCTTTGAGGAGCAAGAATCGAACCTTGAGGAACACCACAAGTTAATTTTAATAATTTACTGTGGTAATTATCATCTGTAATAACACGCTGTTGTCTGTTATACAGGTAACTTTTAAACCACTGCAGTGTATGGTTTTTTAATCCGTATTTTTCCAACTTTTTTAGTAGGATTTCATGATTTATTGTGTCGAACGCTTTTGACAAGTCTACAAAGACTCCTAATACGAACTTCTTTTCATAGATTGATTCACTAATTCTATTGACGAGGTCTACGATAGCATGCTCTGTCGAGTGCTGAGTTTGAAAACCATATTGGTTTTCATTCAGGATTTTGTTTGTGGTTAGGTATTTATATAAACGATTGTAGATTATTCGTTCGAGCAGTTTTGAAAATACGGGAAGGATTGATATTGGTCTGTAATTATTTAAGAAAGATGTATCTCCGGATTTATAGATAGGAATAATTTTAGCTATTTTTAAATAGTCGGGTACAATTTCTGTAATTATTGAAGAGTTAAATATTTGAAAAATGGGTTTACTTATTTCTGGGAAGACATTCAAAATAATATTGGTTGGGATATTGTCGATACCTGGACCTTTGTTAATTTTTAATGTTTTAATTGCTGTTTCAAGTTCTTCGTATTCTAGTTCTTTAAAAACTAGGGAGCAACAAGAGTCCTCGATGTAATTCTCAAATGAATTGTTTGTAGGTTGAATTTTAGAGGCGAGTTTGGAACCTATACTTGCAAAGTATTTGTTAAATTTTTCAGAGATAATTTTTTTATTATTAAACTCTTTTTTACTTATGAGAACTTTTGGAGGTAGTTGGTTCGAGTTTTTTTTATCTTTACCAATTATTTCTTTTATAATATCCCAGATTTTTTTATTATCTCCTTTAAATTTTTGTATTTGCTTTGAAAAATATAGTTTTTTGGATTTTAATTTTATTTTTTCAAATAGATTTTTATATTGTTTATACTTAGACAAATTAAAATGGTTTCTATTTTTTAGATATTTTATGTAGAGTTTTTGTTTTTGTTTTGACGATTTTCTTATTCCTTGGGTAATCTATGGAGTGGTTAGGTATCTTGCTTTCATTTCTTTTTCGACCTTTGGAAAATGTTTATTGTAGAGATTTAGGAAAATATTTATAAAATTATTGTAAGCGGAATTTGTGTGTCCGAGGTTACATTCATGATATATTTTTGACCAATTTACTACCGCTAGTGAGTCTTTTAGTTTTTGGGTCGAGAATTTATTTATGCTTCTTTTAATGATTTTTATTTTCAAGTTATTGACACGTGTTGCTTGTTGTGATAGTGAGAAGTAAATTGGGAAGTGGTCAGATATATCCGTTTTAATTATTCCTACTTTTAAGGATGGATCTTGAATTGAATTTGTCAATATATTGCCAATAGCTGTAATTGAGGTGGGAGTTACCCAGGTGGGTTTGTTTATAATTGGGAAAATGTAATGTTGTATCATATCATCGAAAAAAATTTTGGTATTAGCGTGTTCATGATAGCTTAGGTAATTCATGTTCATGTCACCAATACAGAATAGCTTTTTATGTTCAACATTGCTTGTTGTATATATTTGTTTCATAAAACTTGAAAACATTATAATATCTCCATCGGGCGGTCTATAACAAGAGGATATTAAGAGATTTTTTGTAGTATCATTAATGACTTCAACTGTAAAGACCTCACTATTTGAATCAGAAATAGAAAGATCATTTCTAATTTTTGTGTTTAAGTCATTATGGATGTAGGTTATTATTCCACCTCCTCTTTTGTTAGCTTTTCTTATAGATATTGACGGCGCATTAAAAAGCCTCTCACCCAATCGTTTCCAGATGCATTTTGCTTATATTTGCTCAAATGTATTTTATTTTTAATCAAAAAGCTTTTCCAGATACATAAAATAATCTGCTCAGGTCACACAAAGCTTTACTAAAACTTTTTCTAAGTCATTTAAAAAAGCATTTTGTTTTCTGTTTATCTTGTTAGAAACTTCATAAGTTTTAAAAACATCCTGAATAAAAGATGATTTACACTCTTTATCTGCTAGATACAACATAGACCTTTCTCAAAATAATTACTCAGGGTATATATTGCTGATAGTAACTATATTGTAGTAAGCATCGTGTAGCATTATGATGCTTACTACATAATGCTTACAAATTTATTATCTAAAAAACAACTTTAACTTTAAACCATTTAAAGTTTCTAACTTTAAACTTTTTCAGGGTTTAGGAACTCAAATGTTGAATCGAACACCTAATTTCACGCAACAAGCAGCCATAATGCGCATGCGCGCTATGTTTAACACTAATTTTATTTTTATAATCAAGTTTTAAAACAACTTTTTTAAAAAAGATTTTGTTCAGATACTATATAATATAATTTTATTAACTTTTTAATTAAATTTTATTAACAACACTTGGGAAACGTAGTAAATATTTCAATAGCATCGAGCCATTGGTATAAAAAATCTTCGCTGCCTTCACATTGACTTTTAATCTAATTTACAAAGGCACGCTCAGAAAAATAAAAATCTATTATTAAAGTTATGGTTTGCCAAGTTTTTGCATAATTTATGCATAAGCTAATAATGATCTTATAAATAAAAAATTTTCATTTGCATAACTTTGCTTTTTATCAATATATTATATATTGGTAGGCGTTAGTTTTGCGGTAAAACCGGATTTTAATTTTTACTTCAAATGTTTTTCAGCTATTAAGCTTGTTGTATTTTTATTTTTGTCGTTGCTGCATATATTTTGTATAAACAACGCAGCTACCTTTTTACTATAATATTATATAAAAGCAACGCATTGGCTTTGGTATTTTGCAGCATTTATGTTATTAAAATAGATTTAGAAACTATTCTTATTCTTATAATGCAACAATAGTTACTAATGATTTATAATCTTATATTCAACTTTTTGTATATAATTTCATTCATGAAAAGATATATAAAGTAAATGAAAAATAAACTTAATATGTTTGTACGAAAAACAGGAATTTTGAAATTATAAACATGGGGCGTGTTTTCACGAGACATGCGTACTTGAATTATATTTGCGGTGCAGCCTGTTTAAAAAAGATTAATTTTAAAACATTAAAAAAATAAACTTGTAATATGATCACGACAAAAAACCTCCCCTTTTATTTAGAAAAAAAAATCATGCCTTAAAATTTAAAAACTATAATGCTTTAAGATTTTCCATAAACTCTTCTTATAAATACAAATTTACAGTTTTAATTCAAAGATATTTACATTATATTTACATGATTTTTTCGAAAATAAAAAAATAAAAAATATGGCTTAAAGATAAATTACATAAAATATATCTTTCAAGAAATAAAAAAAAAAGAAAGTAAAAAGGTTATCTCATTAGCTCTAAAGCTCTTTTAACGTCTCCTTTAGCTCTCAGCAAAGCTTCTCCAAGAGTTTTTATAGAACACATTGGGAAAAGATCTGCAAGATATCTTAAGTTGGAGTAATAATCATTTTCACAATCTTGTTGAACGCATAAGTTACATTCTGAGCAAGGACATTTCACTATTACAGGTGCGTGTTTTATTATTAGTGGACGAAACTGAGGGGGTATGTCTCGGTAGTGATGATCGATGTCGGTTGTTGTATCGAAAGATGCATAGCTTTCGGAATTTGTTGAAATAGTTGAAATAGATGCAGGTGATCCGGTTGATCTTTCATCGAGGTCTTCATTATAAGACTCTTAAAATAAATAAAAAATAATTTAAAAAATAAATAATTAAAATTTAAAAAATTTTTTAAAATTAAAAAGAGAAAAAAATTACCGATATAGCTATCGTTTTTGTTGTTTATAACGTCCGCACTTGAATCCAATTTGTCCGAGTAAACTTTTCTCATTTTTCTTAGCTTGGCAACTCTCGATGCTGTAATACGTTGCTTATCTTTAACTATAGCGCAGTTTTGACAAGTGCAATTTCTCCAACGACAGACATATTTATGACCTTTTAGATCGTTTACCATTCCATGGTTACGACACCTGGCACATTTGGGAAAACGATTTGATTTCATGAAGTCAGATTTTGTCGATCGAGATGAGTCGGAACACATCTCTCGACTTTGTTTCAACCTTAAACAAAAAATAAAAACTACAATTAATACATTTTATTAATTTTATTATTATTATTAATTTTATTATTATTATTAATTTTATTGCTATTATTATTTTTAATATTATTATTAATTATTGTTAATATTTTTGTTATTATTAAAAATACATATAAATCATTATTTATTAAAATAATAATTTATATGGCGTTGATTATTAAAAGTCCCATCAATATAGAATAAACAAAATTTTTAAAAAAGAGTTTTTAACTTACATATCTTTGCTTTGTTTATCAACCCAGTATAAAAAATTACGAACTCCTTTTTCCATTGCACCTATTTTATTAGTTTCTTGAATTGATCTTGTCTTATCAGTGAACTTATTTCATTTGTTCCACTTGTAACTTTATGGCGGCTTATTTATGTACGGCATACATTGGAGACAATCAAATTGACTATCGTCATATTTGAATGAGCATTTTGTTAAGTGCCAGCAAAAGTAATTGTTCTAGACCAATAAAACAAACCAAAAAAATCCTTGAGTGCGTTTATTTTTGGACATCAATCAATAATTAAAAATATTCCACAGATGTAATCAATAATCAGCTTATTCCATTACGTCGGCAGTTATTGGTAATGTTTAAACAAGACTCGTGCAATTATGTTTTTAATAACAATAAACAATAATTGCAACCGTAGCCATAAAGTAATTGCTTTTTTCAAACAAACGTTAAAAATAATGCTTAAAAAGATGCAATTGATTTGCTTGCGTACTTTTATAAATTATTAACGATATGATCTTAATTATATTAATATATATATATATATATATATATATATATATATATATATATATATATATATATATATATATATATATATATATATATATATATTCACATAAAAAATGGATATAAGCACTGGATTGGAATTGATAAAAGAAATTTAGTATATGTAAAAAATATTAGCCGAAAATTTTTGAAAGCAATATGCTTGAAGGCAATTTTAGAAATTCTGAAAAAAAAAGTTAATTAATAAACAAACTCTTAAAAAACATCTTGAGATTAATTTTTTATCTGGTTTTTACATATTTTTTGCTATGGAGATACCGCATTGTTTGATAAGTACAGTAGTCTCCAGTATTAATTGTACGGTTATTACAATTGTTATATATCAACACTGGAGCCAACGTGTACAGTATAGATTTTTCTCGTTTAAAATCAAAGAGTTTCCTAAATTGTATTTATAATTGATAAAAATTTTCTTTTTAATAATTTTTATAAATGTTTATATTGGGTACAAACTTTTAGATTTTTTTAAAGAAATGAAGCCAAAGTTTACTTTACCAATTCAGTTTAAAAAAAAGTAAACGTGCGTAATAATATTTATTTAGTAATTGTCGAAATTTCTAATACTTTTATTTATTTTACAGGTCCCTGCACTTAATAACAAATGTTCACATCTACGATTTTAAATTGAATTAGAAAATTTTGCTATTGCAATTTCGCACGAACATTATAGTTACATTATAATTGTTTTATAATAATAGTTACATTTCTAACTAACGTTTTTCAAAAACTTATATAAAAGAGGTAAAAAAAAACATTTTTTTGTTAAAGTTTTTTTATAAACCAAAATATCTATTATATATATGAAAGGTTTTACGCAAAATTAGCAAAAAAAATCTATAGAAAAATTTTAATAAAAAGATATTTTTAAAATAATTCATTTTATTTTGCACTTTTAAAGGTTTTTAAAATCCTATAATTATGTTCGTTATGTTATGATTTATACGCAACCACTTATTAAAGTTACTTAACTGACTATTTTAGTAATAAGTTGAGACCATACAATTTTTTCACAAACACAGCCCCCCACCACCACCACACACACACACACACCCAAATTTAAAATCGCTCTATATAAATGTTTTGCAAATTGTTATGTTTTTAGATTTTTTATTTTTGCCAAATTTTCTGCAAAATTTCCTTTTTTTTTCCTAGTTAATTTTAATATTTTATAACATTTTTAGTAAAAATTTCATTCAATCTTTTTTTCATTCAAAAAGTTGTTCATTCAATCTTAATTAATATATTCTAAAGTTCTTTATTTTCAACAAAATTTAAAATTTAGGGAATAATTTAAATAATGTTGCTCACTTTAATAATGAAGTTAGTTATATGTCTGAACATTTAGCTTGAAACATAAGTTTCTTTTAGATAATAAACAAAAATAATGATGCTATTTAATTAACGAACATTTGTACATTAAAACTTTTTATTTCAAACCCAGATAAACTTCAGAAGAAACCGCTGATAGCAATAAAAAAAAATATTTGTGTTTTTTGAATGTAAGCACGCTCCACTTTTTAATTTGAAAATGATTAAAGAAATGCCGAGAAATACCTTTGTAGATTTGCTTTAGACTTTAGAAACTTGATATTGATAGCAGATTTATCGAGTGCAAAATTCAATGAAACAAACACTAATCTGTTTAAGTTATCAAGAAATAATATTTCCATAGCAAATATATTAAGTTGTGCAACAGCTCAACCAAGTATGTTTTTAAAACGTCTACCGGAACATCTGTCGGCAACGTCTGTCGGTAATTCTATGAAAATTTATCAATTTTAAATACCAAACAATGTTTGCCTACCACTTCAAACGCTGAATTTGAATTTGTTATCTTGGTTTTCAATAACTTTAGTTTTCAATAAAATTGTTTTACAATGATTTTTATTTATACTTTTTCACAATTACCATCATTTTCATCTTCTACATGGTCGTCATTAATTACAATCGTTATCATCATCATAATCATCAACATCATCATTATCATCATCAGAATCTAAGGATTTTTTTTACAGCTTTTTAAGACCTTGAATGCTGCTGCATAAAAAAAGTCAATTAGACAGTCAAAATATCAAATTTTGTAGAAAGACGGTTTAATTTTTTAAAAAATTACTCATTAATTAAAATTTCATATTACAAAAAAATAGAGGTTTTTTGAAATGACGGTCTAATCTTTTATTTGATTACCGCTATCATCAACGCGTTCCTTTAACACAAAAGTGTTATTAATGTGAGTATTTTATTATATAAAAAAATATTGAAATAAAGTTATTTAAAAATTGTAATATTATTTGAGCATTTTATTATATATAGTTAAATACTCAATTAAAACAAACATATAGTAAACATAATCAAACAAAAATTAATGCATACTTTTTATTTCATTATTTAGTGCTTTTTTTTTTTTTTTTTTTAAAAAAAAAAAAAACATTAAATAACGAAATTGTAGTGATATTTGGTAGGAGTGTATAGAAATATCATTAATACAGGACAATGGTTTTGCATTATTAAAACGAAAATAATGTTTTTTTTTATATTAAGCTCTTTTCAGTCTATTCGAGTTATCTCAAACAAGAGGGGAAAAAAAGGCTGGCCTTTTTTTGTTACTACGAATTAATTTTTTAAATCACATTACGGCGGTAATCTTTGAAAATTTGAAATGTTTCTTTAAAAAATTTTAGAAAGAAAAAAAGTTGAGATGTTTACTAAAATTAAATAGATATCAAAATAATAATAAAAAAAAAGTGTTTGAAATGAAAAATCTAAAAAGCATTGACAAGAATTTTAAAAGTTTTGATATTTCTATAAGTTTCAATGCGTTGAACTTTCTGGAACTTTAATCCAATGGTTAAGAGTTGATCTCTCCATTGATTATTTCAGTTTTATTTTAAATCATGCAATCGAGATAATCGGTGTACATATAATTTTTTTAAAGCATTAATTTAAGGAAAAGATATTTTGAATATTTCTTTTTATCTTAAATAACATAATACCTATGAGTTGTGAGGGCAAGGCAAGACAAAAAGCACCAAGTATTTTTGGTGCGCAAGAAACCAAAAATTACGAACGTCTAAACGTCCAAAGGACGTCCCCCGGACGACGCATGGCCACTAGGATGGCAATAAGAATCTTTTGCAAACGAAATTTTTAATAAAAAATAAAAAAAGATAAATTTTTTTTCTTGCTCAAAAGATATGACCACACAGTTTACAAACTCTTCAAATTGAGGGGGCTGAAAGCCTGAGTGGTTATATTTCTTTAAAAACTATATCTTTATTGGTTACATTTTGGGTAGGGAGTTAAGCATTTTTTTATTAACAGAAAAAAAGATCTCAAACATTTTTTTATTAACAGGAAAAGATCTCAAACATTATTTTATTAACAGAAAAAGAAAAACATTTTTTTATTAACAGTAAATATTTATAACCACTATGTGTAACTAGTTAATTTTCAGATATGGAAACAAACTTAAATATGTTTATGTTTAAACTACAGTATCTTTAAACTATTGTGATTGGAGTCTAAAAAAACAAATTTTTTTTTTTCAAGCTCCATATTTGAAAATAATCAACTGAATTTTATAGTATTAGTATTTTAAAATAAACATTTATTTATCAACAGGTTTTAAAAGTTTTTCTTTTAATATCTTAATGTTCAAAATGAGAGACTGCAAACTCTCAAAACGTATGACGAGAGACTGCAAACTCTCTTATTTTAGTGAGTTCAAAAACATTACATAATTATAAATTTTGAACATTAAAATATTATTTATTGAAACTTGAAGAAAATCACTAGAAATAAATTTAGTTGAGAATAGTTACAGTATAAAACTCAGTAACTTTTTGCCCATTTAATAGATGCTTGGGGAAAGAGATTTCAATAACTGTTATTTTTTGCAAAACATTTTCATTTAATATACGCATAAACATAACCCTAAATAAAAGTTTACTCCATTCTTAAGAGTTGTCTATTAAAAAAACTGCTAAAATCATAGGCAAAAGAGATTAATAGAAGTAATTTAAGAGAAGATTTTATTAGATGAGTTTTCAAAATTTTACTCCGGATTCTCTTTATATTTTCTCTAAATAATTTAAACTATTAACCTCAAATATTTATTTTAAACCATTGACCTCAAGATCTCTGTATTTTTAATAAATAATGAAATTATCTTTGCAGCAAATTGGTATTATTATTTATTTTTTTTTTCTAAAATTTATTTTAAGTTTATTTGTATTTCTTTAAATAAACTAAAAACTCATTAAAATTTAATGAAATATGAATCAAGCTATGTATTATTTGGCTGATAAAATATGTATTATTTGGCTCTTACATAAAATTATCAACCAGAAGTTTGAGTTCTCTAATAAAAGAAAACCAGAATTTTCCACATTATTAAAAATTGTTTGATCTTTTTAAAACTAAGATAAAATTATTTTTGTGGACCCCATCTCTAAACAAAACTTCTGAGTACTGCATAATATGGACTTCAAATAGTTAATACCTTCAAACAGTTGATACCCACTTTATAAAAGTCTGTCAAACCGTTAATGAGAAACCATTGAACAGCATTTCGTGTGAAGAAATATATTTCTCTAAGTCGCTTATTTATGATTATATGCAAATATATTATTGTTTGTATATCGATTATATATTTCAAGGTTATTTATGTATAAATAATAAATCGTTTTTTATTTTCGGCAATTCGCATTTTATCTTGGTAATAAATTATTTTATTACTATGCTATATGTTATTACTTTTGCTTTAATGCTATGAAATAAAAATCATATTATTTGT